GTGTCAGGAATGCCGTGATTTGGGGTACCCGTACACCCCTGATTCTCAGACTATCGTATTACGATGATTGTAAGTATTAGATACCAAAAACAAAATTTGTACGTATCTCACGATGCCGAGACAAATGGTATAATCAATTGGTAAATTACTATAAAACTTGCATATTATTATGGTGGTAACCGATATTATGTATAAAAATTACATTTTCATCACAGAACTATGTAGACACATTTGTACATGGTGTCTCACAATGAATGGTATCGAAATGGTAGTGATTTCCACTCACAGAAGATAAATCATAAATATAAAACAAAACTTTTCTCTTGCACAGCCTTGCAATCAAAATGAACGAATCACGTGTTTTAGAAATTGAATACTGCATCTATCTAGTACTCACTATTTCTACTCCAAACAAATATATTAAAAATACAAATAAAGTATATAGGTACATATTAGATGTACAAAATAACTAATACACTATCTACATACATATGTATTTATATTCTATCAACATTACTATCCACATTTCAGTGAATTGAAATTCCTGTTGCTCAACTAATGATACTCCTCGTCCAACATTTGCAGCCATCTTGAAAAAAGGAACATGGCGGGAAAATCCAGTTTTTCTGAATTACCCTAGCAAACATCTGAGATAAAACCTTTTCTTACCCAGCTTTGCATTTAATAATATCGAATTCCAATACTTATCGAATCGCGTGTTTTAAAAACTAACTGTAATATATCTATGTATACAAAGTGTCCCACTAACGTGAGCACTTTAAATATCTCACTTGCTTTTGATTAGCAAAAAGTTTATTTTCACAAATGCTAAAAGAGATGTCCATCAACTCTGATACATTTTTGCACTAATCCCCCACTATCGTAGTTATTTTATTATTTGAATCTACTCCCTCATATTTGTGGATGTTTCGTACTAAAGTTCCCACGAAGGCCGTACTATTTAGGTCATTGAATTGGTCTTAACTCAACTATTACACTACGATTCTAAAAATGTGTAGTCCCAAACATCAATGAACTTGAAATTTCGAAAAATATAAGGGTGAGAAAAATTTTTGTCTTTCATATCTATAAAAACAAATGATATACTGAAGGAGCTCACGTTAAGTCCACTAAGGCGTCTCGTCATAGACGCTTCATAGACATTTGACGCTTGCAGGACGCTTCCATGTACCGACCAATGTAAAACAGTGGACGTTTGTCCACATATGCTTCAGCGTCGCGTTTTCGTCGTTGCATGCGTTCGGCATGAAGTGCGTCGTCAACGATGTCTGCCGCTGGGCGTATAGAAGGACACAAAATTATCATTTGTCTTTGAGTGTGAAATATGTTGGCCATGAAATTCGGACAGATTGTTGCAAATTTATCCATAAAATATAAAAAAAATAGAAAGAATAGAAAAAATAGCCATGTTTATACACGGCTAACACAACAGTACATTTCAGTGTCTTGTTTTTTGATTAGCGGAGCTACCAAACACACTAAATTCTTGCACGTGTTTTTATTCATTCTATAAAAAGAATGAAATACATGATCATTTGTGTTCTTTTCTAACAAGGAGTGTATTTTAGGTGTCCGCCTCCGATTGCTTTGGTTTTCGGATATGTTTTAGAGGACCGAAAAATAAGAGATACGTATTTTTTTATAGCGGCCCGTTTTCATATTTAGGGGGTGAAACCACCCCTCAAAGTTTCGACCCGGAAGTACTATCTCGAAAACCAGAGGAGATACATGAAAACTTTCAATTGGTGGCTTTCATGGTTTTTTATGTACAATAAACTGGTGTTAACAAATTGTCAAAAATACAATTTATTTATAACAAAAAAGTTTGTTATAACTTTATTTTACAACTTATTGAAATTTGCGTAATGACATAAAATGACGAGTCCTTAATTCTAAATCCATTGGTATATTTATTTTTGAAATTGCCTCCTTAGTCTCGCAGTTTTTAATTATTTATATCCTGTGCGCACATAATCAATTGTCCTCACCAAGATATAAAAACCTATTCCAGTATTCTTGGCATAAAAGTGGATACGCAGAAACCAAGTTAGGAGATTTTGTGAATCATGTAAAATTTGCTTTCGAAGAGAATATAGAAATGAAATGTGCACTTTGTGATGAAACATCGATAGTTAAATGTTCTTGGTGTAAAAAAGCATTTTGTTTAAAACATTTTTTTCATGAATATCACTTTTGTGACAAATGTGAACCGTAAAGTCTTCGATAATATGTGTATTCTCCGAAAACCGAGGCAATCGGAAGCTTAAAGAGCGGGCGTGCGCACAGGATATAAATAATAAAAAACTGCGAGACTAAGGAGGCAATTTCAAAAATAAATATACCAATGGATTTGGAATTAAGTGCTCGTCATTTTATGTCATTACGCAAATTTCAATAAGTTGTAAAATAAAGTTATAACAAATTTTTTTGTTATAAACAAATTGTATTTTTGACAATTTGTTAACACCAGTTTATTGTACATAAAAAACCATGAAAGCCACCAATTGAAAGTTTTCATGTATCTCCTCTGGTTTTCGAGATAGTACTTCCGGGTCGAAATTTGGAGGGGTGGTTTCACCCCCTAAATATGAAAACGGGCCGCTATAAAAAAATACGTATCTCTTATTTTTCGGTCCTCTAAAACATATCCGAAAACCAAAGCAATCGGAGGCAGACACCTAAAATACACTCCTTGTAAGTAAGGATGTGACCAATATCTTTTACGATTTTTAGGCTATCGAATATAATTACAATATAAGGCGAGAGGGTCCTCTTCGTCGCCCGACATCTTTGCGAATGAGAAAAATCAAGTTTTCTGTACGCTTTCTATACGCTTCTAAATCGTCATTTTGTACGCTACGCTGACGTGTCTATGACGAGACGCCTTAATGCACAGCAGGCCTAAGTGGGATACCCTGCATAGTACACACTGTTTCTACTCGTAATAGATATAATTCACTAATAACTAATTTACTACCTACATATATATGTTCCATCAACTTCTTTCGAATAATATTCGATACCTCAATCCGCATAACATTCCATCCACTCCAACATCCGCCGTCATCTTGAAAAAACAAACATGGCAGAAAAATCCACTTTCTTTGAATTCTCTCAACGGCGACCAGCCCCCCGCGACAGTATCATTGTTAAACATACCGCACGATTGCCGCGTATTATGACCGAATAAGTGATTTATTCGGCGACGAGATAGCCTGCAATTTTGCGGTGGATCGACGATAATTAATACTATTCTACGACCGTCGTTTCGATGGACGAGCGGACGTCGGACCAATCGACCCGGCGCAGAAAGGAATCGAATTACCGGATTAATTGGTCCGTGATGGGTGTTACTTTGTGGGTAGTCGACGATTCCCTGGGTAGCACCGGTGTCGTTCGGACGAGACACAAAACATCGTGGTCCCAACGTTCCCCGTTGGTCGTCGTGATACGAGCAGGAGGCCGTAATCCCGGCAAACAAGGTTCGAGACTCTGGGCAAACAACACCCGCCCTCGGTCGTGCAATCGCACATATCCGCGTGAAACACTCGAGCCGCGAGGAACGTATAATTCCCGTTGGAAGCGTTTGACTTGCAATTTAATTTGTACCGTGGGGACGCGAGGCGATAATCAGGCCGCTTTCATCCGTTACGTTCTTCGTTAAAACGCCGCCGCGGCCCTTTTCCGAAATTCCGTCACGCGTTAAACCGGTGACACGAACGCTTCTTGCCACCTTTCCGCAACTCGCCGAGCAATCAGGCTTCAGAGAGTTCGGTGTCGTTGGTGGGCTACTTGGAGGACGACCGTGCATGAGATTGCGATGATACAAGGCCCGTTTGCATGTTCGGATAATTTGCGCAAACTGACTTGTGCCGTCATATATGCGCAAGCAAATCTCGTTGCGTCTAAACTAGGTGTGGGGAACGTTTTTGTGTTGGGAGTCCGCATTAATTTATCTGTAATAAAATGTACATTAGTTTGTAAAAATTTAACTACTCTGTACTTAATCCTCGGAGTACGGGCGTTTTTAATGTTCGTAGAGGCAGTGGCGTCTGGGTCCGTTTGAAACCCCGTGTTTCCTCATTTTTAAACATACAGACTCCTCTCGATTTTCGTCCCGCACTTGGGTCCGCGCCAAAGTAATAATCTTATAGGAACAAATGCTTCACAGTTTTAAATTCGTTTTTTTTTTGGCCCGAAGCCCGAGCCTCGGCAACAAAACCCAAAAGGGAACAAAATATCCTCACCCGACGAAAAATTCTAATTCGAAATTATAGAAAATTTGAAGAAAATCTGTGTGGCGGTATACAAAAGAAAAGCGAATCTCTCATTGAAATAACCTAATAACAAAGAACGTCAATAAACGCCGAACGTGACGGCTGGCGTTTATTCACGCGTACCGCCAGTTTTTAGTAGCCACCTACGGCCGACGAACTCGAGTAAGGCCGTCGAACGATAACAATTCGCGCATAGAGACGAGGAAAATATTACCAACCGCCACCGCGGTCGATGATCCGTCAGCAGCCTTCCTTGTCCCACCTGAGGTAATGAACTCACGAGTTCAAGGATATATCCCCCACTAATCACGGCAAACTGCCTTAAAAGCGCAACGTTTTGGGGAGGAAACTCGCTATGTACCGCGACACGAGGCATAAGTAGAACGAGTAAGGAGATTGTATCTCTTTAATAAAGCCAGGTAAACTCCGAACAATCGTGTCAGTTTAGAACACTATACCTCTTTAACTGTCTATCCTTTCAAGGTTAACAGAAACGTGGTCACGGAAGACAGAAAGCTTTCACGGAGGATGATTGAAAACGGTTTCAGGTTACAAAGTTTGGAGGGCTAAGCATCTGAAGTGTTTACGGATGACGGGGATCAGCTTAAAGACTATCTGAACGTTGGCTGTACGGAAAATGTAAAAATGAAATAGAACATAAACGCGGTTATCATATTATTTATCATCTCCAGAAATTTATGCTAATTACATTGTATATTTCATGCTTTTACAAAATACCCAAGTGTAAATAATGCAACAAAATAAATGTCCTAACGAAGATTCAATGAAATTCGTTTCATTTGTAACCTCCCACAGTCTCTAATATAAAAAATCAAGTTCTGCTTAATTCTCATTTTGACAGTGATCTAAGAATCTTTTGAATACAGATGTTCAGTGTAGTGATAAGTGTGTAGAACATCTTTCTCTTATAATTTATACATAAAATTTATTTTTATACGACACTTAGACAAAATATTCGCAATGAGCGACTTATTCGATGTAACCACACAAGCCACTTATAAAACATATAAGACAATATTTCTTGCTAAAATGTAGCACCCTATTCTGCTCGAAAAATTAAGATAAGAACCATGCCAAGAAATTTCGAAATGAAGTATCCCCGGTTTACGAAAAAATACCACAATATTATTTGTATTGTTCATATTTTATTCAGTACCATGTTTATTTTACGTTCCAATGAATTGCCGTTTCTGTGTCGTGATTACTGGCATCATGCCGAGCGTAATGAACGTGATTCAATATTATATATTAAATATTCGCGTGATTGACACATGTTTCTGAAAATTTTACACTCATTTCCTGAGAATTAGTGGAAATTATTAAAATATTTTTACATATAAATCAGAAGTAGTAATTTTCATGAGATGATTTATGTGTGTTTGCTAAAATAAACATCGATTTCAGAAAATTAAAAACTATTTCGAATTTTATTTAAAAAATTCCCACGTAGCGAAGTTAGAAGCTTGTTTTCATGAATTGAGAGAGATAAAAGACGGTGGCAATGCCAGGCAACGTGTTACGTTAGATGTGAATTTGTTGGCGGTTTCAGTAGAATTCAATATGTTTTGATTAAATTTATGGTTTCCAGAAAGTCTGATCTACCGTTTAAGAATTTCTCTACCTTTGGTGATGGGAGGCTTGTGATACCAATATTTACGAAATACTGAATATCTACAGGTAACTTACGTTTCTCTGTTTCACAAATGTATCCGTTCATTCTACATATAATATATAGAAGATTTCCAACCTTTAATTAATTTCGAAGTTATAGATATCAATTTTAATTAGTATTAGTCTAAAACTGAATTAATATACTTTGGATTAGGATTCATTCAATTGCAAACTTATAGGTCATTTATTCAAAAAAATATTGTCATCGGTAGACAAAGCAAATGCACACAAAAATTGTTATTTAATTTACATAAATTTATTTACAATGAACACTTTGATGTTACCTAAAGTTTTAATCTGTTATGCGGAATTTGTGTTTGTCTGTAGAATTCGGTGTATGTATCTATCACAAAACAGTACTTTTTCAAATGAATTGTGTATAATTTCTAATAGTTACGAAACAAATGTATCCTGATTTAGAGTATATTAATTAAGGATTATATTAATATAAATTGTAATGGTTTATTTTGATTTTAATATTAATTAAATATGTAGAACGCGTCGTACGTACATATGAAGTTGTCGCACCTATACTTTTGAGAATAACTGTATCTGTATCATCAGTAAACTTCGGATGTTTATGCAAAATATGGATTTTCTCCGTTAACGTATAGAAATTGTAATTGAAGTACCATTTGTTTACTCTATTACGGAATACATCTGATACCACATAACATGGAAAATTTATTAAACTTTAATAAACATTTTAGTTTACTGAATTCTAGATTTATAATTCCAATTGTAATATCCTCATTTTAAATTACAATGTCGTACAATATTATCAGTGGGTTAATATAATATTATGAGTGAACTGAAAATATTACGAGTAACCTGAAAACAAATTGAAAAAAATAAAATATTTCGCTTAAATGAAATACTGTTTTAAAAATTTAATGCGACAAAGAGACTATTTTATTTTTATATTTATACAAAGGATATTAAAATAAACTCCTTACTATTAATATATATGTATATATTTAAATCGGATATGTTTTTAAAATATATCAACATATATATATATTTTAAACTAAATATATATATATATATGCATTTTTAAAAGAAATAAGTACTCTTTAAAATAATATATTGATTCATATATTTTACCCAGGTTTGATTAAGTACCGTGTCACTTACTTTTCCAGTTCAGGTAAACAAAAGTGAAAATTTTTGAGTGTTTACTAAATCAACATGGCACATCCGTCAAATCCACGACTAATGAATCGTGTTCTTGACGCGGTAATGCGTCTGTGCGAGGGCAAAGGCTCGACTGCTCGAGACGTCCTTGATTTTCTACAACAGACGTCGAAAAGTACCCAGAGAAACCTGACGATGCAGGTAACAAGCGCACATTTCGAAACATATGTAAACATGGATCTCATGAGTCAGTCATTATCAGTCAATCACTTTATAGTACCACAATCTACTGCACTTTTCTTCGTACTAGAGTAATTACATTTGTCATCGTGAGTTTGTCTACCAGTTGACGTAATATATTTAATTAATAACGCTTTGGTAAAAACAATAAGTGAATATCGTCGGGGGATACATTGGCTTGTCCGGAGGATACATAAAATATTTATGCGCACTTACGTCTTTCAAATAACTTAAAATGTGTAATTATGTGATATTGTGGACTAGTGAAACCGTCCAAATGGCGGATTTCAGGTTTCTTGTTTTACAACTACCGAGGTCATAAGGGTCTTTATGTTGGAATCTATGGTGACTTTTAGTACATGATACTTTTATCATGCTATTGTTATTGTATACTAAACTTTAAAGATGGATACAGTGACCTCCAACGATAAGACTTTCAAGGTCAATAAAGGTAAAAGTTTCTATTTACTTTTGATGTCACTGCGACGCAACGTTCCGTTCAATTTTCAATCCTTTAAAACGGTTACAGTTATTAATAATATATACGCAATAGCATTTTTTATATGACTTATTGTAGTATGTGAAAAAAAATACAACACTTTATTAAAAAAAACAAAATTGACGTTCATAACTAATTAATCTCTCCCAACAGAGTGAAACTATTGTTACTATATGTTGGCTCCCACAAAACTATACGCATTTGTAGTAAAGATTTTTCGGAAATTTTTAATACAGCAGAAACATTTCGGTGCTAAAATTACGTAACACACCCCGTATGTAGACACGGTGTCTCAAAAGTGTCTCTCTTCCGGGAAATAAGGGGTTGCTGGTGTGATTTGAAACTAGTTTTTCCTTAGCGAAAATGTTAGCTGCGGCTTTGTTAACGAGAGATTAACGAAAAACCCGAACCAATCAGAGCACGAGTTTACTGGCCAACTTCGCGCGCTAGCGATGGCTACGATTGTACTATGACGCTCCGAACAAGCAAGTTGGCATGCATCCCAGGAAACCGCGTATAATAGCAAATAAGAAATACCTAACAAATCGAACTTTTTATCATCTTTCGTTTGTCATTTAAAGTGATAAATGAATGGAACATAAATGTAAGAAAACCATGTGTAACGTAAAAAGACGAATACACGATTATCGTTTTAAACAGAATTTTTTAGAAGCCCGAAGAAAATGTAGGTACTGAAACTTGCAGAATTATTGCCGGGAAAAAGTCATATATAGCTTGCGTTAAATTAAAAAAATAATCAACAATAAATTGAATAGAGCTCACCCTTTCGGAAATTCACCTGCAGTTTGCAGACCTGTGTCAGTAGGTCACTGTACCGATCCTGGACATCGACGACTGAAACGGTTATGGCAGGGTATCGCCCAGTCCGCTGGTGATCGCAGGTATACCTCACCAGCCGAAGTTAAGGGTTGTAAAGTCAAGTACGTCCGGTTTATTCCACCGAATACGTATTCACTTCACTGCACGACCATTAACACTGATCAGCCGACACGATCACTTAATGTATTTTTAATCGAACGTGTTGTTCCTATGTTAGGAAAATTGGTGGCCCCAAAACGGGCCGATTGTTTTCAATTTATCACATGTTTTACGTAGCCAAACGCTTGCACAGCAGCAGCCGCATATCCGTTATTTATGCGTACCACCATTGCGTAATACTTCCGTGAACTGAACATCTCTGTCGCCCGATTGCTAACCGACTGACAGAATTTTTCCGAAAGGGCTTCCTCTACCCCCGAGTAGTTTCTCATCGTTACAATGTGAGTTCACTCCCATCGTGGCAACAAGATTAATTATTGCGTATTAAAAATTAGTATAAACAGCAGTTATAAATTAATTAGTGTAGTGTTACGAGCCCGGGCCGTAGCAACGCGAGAGACCGGCGAGTTTAAGTTTTTCAAGGAATATAGTATCAGTTTATTAGTAAGGTGCGCGGACGAGCCTGATGCGAAATCAGGGAGCCTTAGGAATGGAGTCACTTGCGGACGAACCTGATGCAAAATCAGGGAGCCGTTAGGAAATGTTAAGTAGTGCCTCGTAACCTTTGAATTTATAATTAATGCAACTCGAGCGGTAAAGTTGTATTAGTGTGGGAACGGTCGACCTGATATTATTCTAAACTAGAGGAAACTAGTATATCGATAATACTACAGATTTCTGGATCGTGTTATGGATTCAAAATGAACTACACAGATTTATAAAATAACAGTGTAATTAATCAGTCTTTGGTTACAAATGTGTTGTGTAGTGTTGTCGCGTAGCAGTAAGTAATAATGAAATAATAACTATTACTGAAATAAATAGGTGCTCGGTGTTAACGCCCTGGCGATGCGGGGGTTGCGAGTGGATTTTACGGAATAATGCCAAAGTAACAATTCTAGCCGGAATACAAATAAAGTGTTCACGGTTTACTACAAGGTTAACTGGATTCGAAAGGGAACTTTAGCCCGATTTCACTAACGTAATGACCAACTTACAAGAACGTGACGCGACGTGACTCTAAAGGCGACGGTACAGTTCTGATCCCCCGAGGGTTAAAGTGAACGGGTTTATATAGGCCTAAAAATTGGTGGGGATGCTATGAAATTTCCATATAAGGAAATTTTTGACGGTTGAAGTTGCGACACGCTTCCTAATTTTTTGGTTACCACGCCGTGGGAACGGATTTTACTCCCTCGCTTACTCAAGAGATAACGAAACCGTAAGGGCGTTTTCCTTTGCCGGGTGCGAGCTCAGACTATTAGAGCGAGAGGTATGATAGAAAATTCTTCATATATAACAGTAGGTTAAAACTTAGCGTAAATAATAGTTATAAATTAATTATTTTAGGTGTTAGTTTTGCGTAACGTGTACAGTGATAAATGCAACGGAGGAACCGTGCGCGGGTCTAATTAATCGCGCACTGTGTGAACATTTTTCGTGGTCGGGAGAATCGCGCAGTGTGTGTGGACATTTTTCGCGGACGGGACAATCGCGCAGTGTGGGTGAACATTTTCGCGGACGGGACAATCGCACAGGGTGTGTGGACACTTTTCGCGGATTTCTGTGGTGTACGTGCATGTGCGGATTAATTTCATGGATACTCGTGGACAGGACAATTGTTATACGTGACAACTAGAGGGGGCATTAACCCTCTCTGAGTAATCAGAGTTAATGCGATACAAGTGGATTCGACTCAAATACCGCGGGCACAAGTTATCGACATCTACTACGGGGTAAGTAGACAACTGTTCTACCGACTTTTCTTGCAAGTCGTTGAGTCTTTAAAGTGACTGTAGGCCCCTTACGAGACGTGATCCGCTGAGACTCCGTACGCACGGATTGCTATCATTTGGGTCAATTTTTAAACGCTTATAACTAACAAACGAAGCATTTGACGCAATTTCGTTATTCTTGATTTTTGTCTTATTTTGCCCCAAAGAACCACCATTTAAATTTTTCCCACTAATAGTCGAACACCCTGTATATGTATGTATAAAATCCAAATACCAATCATTCCCTGATCGAGTGTCTGACTCAACGCACAGCCCGAACTGCTGTACCTAGAAACATGAAATTTTGGGGATAGCTTCCCTCTAGGTCCTAGGTATCCCGTAAGAAAGGATTTTTCGAAATTCAACCTCTAAGGAGGTGAAATGGGGTACAATGTATGTTAGATATACTAATGGGATGCTTTTGATTTTTAAAAGAACCACGCTCTTTCGAAGTTCTGTGATAAGGGCCGGGCGGCCAATCACAGTCCTTTTACCAAAAGGCATCGTTGCCTTCTCCACTCCGTAGTCAGATCCTCTAGGAACAATGTCCTTATTCTTAAGGCAACGCAACGTCGTGTTACTTGCCATCTCCAACGTTCACTCATCTGTTTCACATAAACAACCCTCTACATCGCCGATAGCTGAAGGACCCAATGTAGTCTTCCGCCACCATGCGACGCCAGGTCTGTTTAGTCTCAAGCACCCTCTTCCAAGACCGCACGGATTCTAGAAACCCTAGTCCATCAATTCTCCAACGGTCAAACAGCGACACATCATCCGCCTTCGACTCCACTTAAAACTCGTTGACGCTAACATGTATTTTCTGGAAATTTTCACTATCTCTTAGTTTCGACAAGATATCCCACTGCTTTATGTTTTAAAATGTTACTTATACAAATGACTGAAAAGTGATTTCAGGATTTTTGGAAGTTTCACCAAAGGAGGATTTTTACATTTCTACGTGAGGATTTTCAGAAACATGACTTTTTGTGCAAATGATGAAAAAGGTTTCGTTTTTAACTCAAAACTTTTCTATAAACATGTTCATAGCACAGAATGTTTTTAACATATCGCAAAATATCTAAGAAGTTTTTTGGTAAATTTCATGTAAAACATACAAATTTTTCGTTTATTGGACGCCGATTAGGAGCTCATTTAGACAACCAAAATGGCTAAACTCCAGTGTCGCCATTTTGTTGTATGAAACATGTTTTTCGCGTACCCGAAGATATAGAGGATGAGTGAAACTGATTATTGATGAATAACTTCTACATTATGCGTTATACAAAAAATTATTTCTATAGATGTTACATAAATGAAGGGGGACATCGTGTAGTGTACATGATTCCTTTGTAAATGGAGGCGTTTAGAAAATTTGAAGGTCACCTTCGTTTTTTAAAATGCAATCTTCTATCTCGTTTACTGCAGGTCGAAAGAGCATCAATTCCCAAGGAAAAAAGTATTAAAGTATTAGTAACTTTAAGTTTCTGACTGTATAATGTCCAACAGTTGGTTTTGTGTAACAAGAAATCCTCGCTCTCCAAGATAGCAAATCCACTGAACAAGTTTTTCCTCTTCTTCTTTTGTGAGATACGTTGATGGACCCATTATGGCAATTAAAGGAATTGTCCCTTTACTTTTAATATAAACTATGCTTCGAGGCACTTTATATTCGTTACTGACAATTCTTAATGACATATCATTTTTAACAACTTTGACAGCATTCTTCACGTCTTGTTGTGAATAATATTTTTTTACACACCTTTCCTCTCGGCATCTTGAAAGTCTTATTGCTATAAAAATTTCCCGAAACAAAAGAAATAAAATAAAAAGGTGATTTTTAATGAATTTTCGGTACGCGAATCGATTAGGTTACGGTTGTGTCAAAATAATATGATATTTATGTACGAAATATGTAAAAACGACTATGAGCTTCCAAAATTAAATATTGTTATTAATATAAAAAACACAAAAATACCTACAACGAGTAGAATATAACGAAAATAATTTTTTAAGCCATACACTAACTCTCTACTCGATGCTGCTCGAGTGACTGGACAAGCGTCCAACGACTACGCAATCAGCATTCTCATGTACCAGTAAATAAACTCGGTAATATCGACATTAAAAAAAAAGGTTTTATTAAAACAAAGTTGGTATCAATTCTGGAGACTTTAATAAGTGCACGAAACCTTTACTTAATAGAAATACACGAATTATTTATTATTTATGAGTTTATGAAATGCGCTCTCAATGTTAGCGAAACATTTACAAAGGCATTCATATCGCCTCAAGTTTACGATTGCTAAATGATAACATTTTTTTTAAATAATACATCGTGCTTTTACGAACATCTTTATATGATGTATGATTAAAGATAATTATTTTCTATCCTGAAAAAAAAATTAATACTAACAAAAATTCATGATAGTGTGCAATCACCAGAACGTGTCAAACCACTGGGACATTTACTTTACTCTTACTTCAATGCTGTCGTCTACGATTTCCGTGATTCACTATCATTTCATTATCGAAGGTATATATTTATATAGATATACAGGGTTAGGCACTAACTATGGCCACCTAGAATAACTCCGAGAGTATGATAGTAGTAGAAAAGTTTTCGAAACAATAGTTGCATCGGACAACGGGGGCTGTTATATGACGTTAGTTTTTTGTTGCTTGGTGGAATCGCTTCAGAGATTTGAAGGTCAACTTTGTTTTTCTAGAAAGAATGCTATGTTTTGGTACTTATTTTCTGATAGCGGCTATCGAGACGAATCCAATGATGTACAAGATTAAGGTCTTTGAAGGTCAACGAAGGTCATTTAAGGCAAAAAGGTGAAATGAACTTACATTTACAGAAGGTGTTCAAAGTGATTACCAGTGGTACCAATGCAATGCTGCAATCTCCTTATCACGGATTGAGTACTATTTCTTATCACTTCGGCACTTATCGAATCACATGCTCTAACAATTCTGTCTCGCATGTCGTACAAATACAGTAAATATTTACTAAATACGGCGTATTTATCAAACCTGACAATGTAAACACTGTTCGGACGATATCGCAAGACAACAATAACAGCGGTGTACGGAGAACGTAACAAGTAATAAGAGCGGTAAGACTAGTATCATCGAATCAAGCGAATGTAGTAAATGATGTATTCTTTCGAAGAACAAACCGATATGCTTCTCATTTACGGAGAATGCCAGCAAAATTCAGTGAGAGCTAGAGACATATACGCTGAAAGATATCCTGAACGTTCTCACCCTACACTCCGTACATTTAAATATTTGTACGATAAATTGAGAACAACTGGATCCTTAACCCATCAGAAAAATAGCCAGCAAAAGCAAGTAACTAACGAAGAAACGGAAATTGGTATTCTTGCCACTGTGGTTCGAGATCCTTGTGTTAGTTCGCGTCAAATCACAAGGGAATCTGGCGTAAGCCAGAGAAGTGTTATTTGTGTTCTGCGTCGCCATAATGAATATCATCCTTACCATATCAGTCTTCACCAAGAATTAACTGGTACGGATTTCATGAATCGCATTCAATTCTGCCGATGGGCTCAACTCCATATTCAGAGAAATAACTCATTTATTAATTGGATTTTATTTACTGACGAGGCAACATTCACGAATCATGGTAATATTAATTTGCATAACATGCATTTTTGGTCAACTGAAAATCCACGTTGGCTGCGGCAAGTTGCACACCAAAAACCGTGGTCGGTGAATGTATGGTGTGGGATTATTGAGGACAGAATTATCGGCCCCTATTTCATCGAAAGAAATCTTAATGGTAGGAAGTACACCACATTCCTTCAAGAAACATTAGGTCCGTTATTGGAAGAAATACCTTTCGAAACAAGGAACAGAATGTGGTATCAACACGATTGGTGTCCGGCACATTTTTCGCTGGTGGCTAGAAATGAGTTGCAAAGAAGATTTCCAAATCGTTGGATTGGACGCGGAGGAGCTGTACCGTATCCGCCTCTGGATTTTTTCTTGTGGGGATTCTTGAAAAACTTTGTTTATAAAGAACTTCCAACTACGCCTGAAGATATGCGAGAGAGAATTGTTAGAGCATGTGATTCGATAAGTGCCGAAGTGATAAGAAATAGTACTCAATCCGTGATAAGGAGATTGCAGCATTGCATTGGTACCAATGGTAATCACTTTGAACACCTTCTGTAAATTGAAGTTCACTTCACCTTTTTGCCTTAAATGACCTTCGTTGACCTTCAAAGACCTTAATGTTGTACATCATTGGATTCGTCTCCATAGCCGCTATCAGAAAATAAGTACTAAAACGTAGAATTCTATCTAGAAAAACAAAGTTGACCTTCAAATCTCTGAAGCGACTCCACCTAGCAACAAAAAACTAACGTCGTATAACAGCCCCCGTTGTCCGATGCAACTTTTGTTCCGAAAACTTTTCTACTACTATCATACTTTCGGAGTTATTCTAGGTGGCAATAAGTAATGCCTCACCCTGTATAAGGTATATATCTATATTTTTATCAGATAAAGACCATCGCCTTCGCAACTCACTCGGTGACAGTAGTCTTCCAACGCGACCTTATATGGATCAAACTTTCGTTAATATCTCAGTAATTATTAGCTTTAGGAGAAACAATATTTAATATTATTTTACTTTGAAATTAATGCTCTTTCGAACTGCCGTAAAAAGATAGGGCATTCGATTAAAAAAAAACAAAATTGTTCTTCAACAAGTTGATCTTCCACGTGATATTCCCCATCATACCATGTAATACCTGTAGAAATAATTTTGTGTACAACGCATAATGTAGAAGTTATTCAAGATGGATGATCCATTTAGGTGCCTACCCTGTATTATGTATATATCTTCAATACAAAATTTTAGAATTTTATCTGGCTTCCCATCAAAGATAATTAGCCCTAAATTTCGCAAAGATTACGGAAATCGAAATATTTGCGAAAGTATAGAAGAAGTAGGATTACGTTTCAGACTTGAAACTTATCAGACACTACATTGGCATGTGTTCTGCTAAGAACAACAAGAATTAAGTTTGAGGCTGGTAAAGCCTAAGGGGAAACCTTTGAGAAAAAAATTTACGATTGAACCTTTTATTTTTCTAACAATTGAACTTGCAAACTAGACTCAACTTTTAGCTATTAGAGTTAGGTTTAAGATGAAAGTGTATACAACAATAATTGTGGCTTGTTCTTCTCTGAAAAATACACGTTTCGTCCCATGTAGCTGTGATTTGTAGACGCTAAGGTATTTTAATTTCCACGAACCCCTTGAAACCGCAAGAAATGAGGTTTCGCACGACACAAATACGATTCTCACGTGTAAACAAACAATCATTAGGATAAACTGACGCCTGTTTGGAAGTGTCAATATATAAACCTAAAATAGTCGAGCATCAACATTGGACCACTTTGCTTGGCATGGCACTGATGATCTTGTAATGAATAGATTTCCCATCTACTTCATCATTTTCGCAAAAGAATTGCCAAAAAGTAGCTTTTATTTTTGGGCTCCAAAGTGGTGCTAAGTGGGCTAACTCCTTAAGGGGTTAAGGTGATCAAGTCACATTGTGCATTTTGTATACAGATAAACAATTCTCTTAATGCACATCGTGAAATCAATTCTTTTAGGTTCGTCGGGCGTTGAAGCATGCGGTAAACGCTGGTCTTCTGCGGCACAGAAGTGGTCGTTACAAGGCGTTGTTCACATTGAAGCCGGCGCCGGTTAAGCTGTCCACGGACGAGGCTAACGATGAGAACTCGATCGAACGACCGTCCGGCGGACACAACGCGGACCAGCCGTCTAGGAAAGTCAGCTCGGATCGCAAAGACAAGAGTAGGTGGGTGTCTCCCGTAGTATCGTTTAATTACATTTCAACGCGTGTAGGCGAACTTTCCGCGAAATGTGAAACTACAATCCAATTAATATCCGGTCGGATAATACTGTTACGCGGAGTTTCTATCCTTAAAATGATGTTAACTGTATGCGTCGTGAATGTACAAGCCGAGTGCCGAGTCGTTCGTGTATTTTAATGAGATAAAAGAAAATGGCGCGAATAATATAAACGATAGTGCAAGTATTGGTGACGTTATGGTGGTATTTCTCTCGAGAGACAGTTCAACAAAAAAAATGTATTTATAGTTGGTTAGTGACTTTTAATAAACAACATTTGATAACTGAAACTTTCTGAATGTCACTTGGTGGGTGACCTTGACAGGATATGTCAAGTTCAAGGTCATCGGATATTTTACTTATCAATACCGCTAAAGTACGATACTAAACATTTTTTATATTTTTTTTACAAATGATAACCCCCAACTAAAACCTTTACAATACTATTCATGGTGATGACCTTTATAATACATTAAAAAATCATCAAAATCGGAGGTGGCTCCCTTATTGTTAATATCTATAACTTAATTGCATTTTTGTGGTAATCTTGTCCGTAGATTGTTGAGGTTAGTTTGCAAGAAATGAGAAAATTATGCGAAATACTCTTCACCCTTGAACAGCCGATCATTTGATCAGGACATAGAAGGTCGTTACTAGGTCAATATTGAGCCATTATTATACAGGGTGTCCCTCCTAACGCGAGCACCTTCAATGTCTCACTAGTTTTTGAAAATACAAAAAAAATGTGAGGGAACAATGTTATTTAGTTGGAAGGTGCAAGTACTGTGATAAAAAAAATGTTTCTTAAGGTCTGTTGCGGCGAGCAGCGTCGATAACGCAGTCATCTGTATCGCGTAAATAGGTGGTTCCTGGTTCGCGTTTTGTTTTACCTCGTTACCGTGCTCGACGGTGCCCCTCACGCGTTTGTATACATTGATCGTTCGAGCGATGTATCCTCCTTGTCGTGCCTTGTCTCGTCTTCGTACTGCTTTGTCGAGTCTCGTCGCTTTTTTTCTGTACACTTCCCGGAACGTGTGCCGAAACACGTGCTACACGTGAATTACACGAGGTAACAGTACCATTAATTGTTTGTTTCGTTTCTCTCCTCAATTTCGGATCGGAGCGCGTAACATTTATCTCCGTTCACCACCATATCTATTATTCTATTCCCACACGCTCAAACAAGGTTATATTTTCTAAGTCATCGGTATTTATTTATTTTTCCCCTTAGGGTTACAATTTACAAATATCCATTCTCCTTTACATATTCCTCATCCTATTCTTAATCCTATCCTTTATCTCTAATCTTAACCTTAACGCTCGCCTCTATACACACACACACACACACACACACACACACACACACACACACACACACACACACACACACAAAAGCTCCGTATCCCTATCCTGGACCTCCGCTTCCGCTCGTCTCACCATTCACTCTAATCCTTCTCGTAGCTCTTCTATACATCTCATACATTCCTACCCCACTTCCTCATCTCCTAATACTTATCTCATATATTCTCGCCACCCTCTCTCTTCCTTCCAGCCCATGCACTCTTACCGCACATGCTCCCATGTCTCCTCTCCCCAGCCACATATCGTACAACTCCTCTTTTCTTCCTGTACCCAATACCTCGCCCCTTGCCCTCATCTCGTTACAAGTCTGAATTTTGTTACTCTCTGCCATCTGCTTCCTCCCACTCCTTCAACAAATACCCCGATGTTCCCCTTCCTTTCACCACCTCCAACCATTTATTGTAGTGAGATTTCCCTATCTTTTTTCCACCTTTCCCCCTCTTGCAATCTTCATTCTCTCTTCACTGTTTCCTACACTCTTAGTTCTCCTCTTTCTCTCATTCTTTCTATTTCTTTAACCGACCATCCCCTTCCCTCAAAGTATTCTTTCCTTTCCTCTTCTCAATTCCTCTTTTACCATATACCCTGTCGTACTCCTTTACACTCCCAGCACCTACCTTAGATACTACACGATTTCTCCTGTAATCAATTTTTCTTCGCCTCCATCACCTTCCTTTTTTCTTCTCTTCCTCCTAATTTAAACGACACCATTCCCACCCCCTTCTACTTATCTTTATTACCTCCTTTATCCCTCCCTCTTCTACTTCCATCATTTTCCTTTCCTCCTTTCCCTCTAACTTCATCCTTCCCATCACCACATTCTCCTTTCTCCCTTCTCTCTCTTTCCTATTTTGCTTTATCTCTTTCTTTCTTAATCTTCCCCTATTTTCTTCTACTCCTCCCTCTTCTATCCTGTCTTTCTTTCTCCCACTCCCATCGCTCTACCTTCTTTGTGGCTTATTCCCACCACTTTTCCTTTCCCTCCATCCTTTCCAGTCTCTTCTCTACCTCTTCTCTCCTCATCTTTTCTTCCCTTCTCTTCTTCCCATCTATTCCTCTTCCTTCTTCAAATTCCCCTTTTCTTCTAACTAACTCTTTATAGTTCTTTCCCTCTCCCACAGCTCGCGCCACTTGTGTTTCCGCTGTTCTCTTCCCGCTCTACTGTTCTTACTACCTGACACCTAATCTCGAAACACGTCTCCGTTTATTTCTTTTCCTCCGTTGTACCTACCTCGTTCTCTTTCCTTATACTCCCTTCGATCTCTCACACTCTTCCTGCCCTCCACTCACGCTCTCACTCCTCTCCCTGACCACCTTATCCACACCTTATTTCCACCTATACCCTATACCTACTTTCCACACCTTAAAAACCTCACATTGTCTCTCACGTCTTTCTCTCTCGCGACCAGAAACGGAAGTCCTTTAAATGAGACTACATACGTTTATTATCGCGACGTGATAGTTTAGGTCAACAACAATCCAATGACCTATAGTAGTGAGACCTTCAATAGACCTTGAATACAAAAAATCCACAAATGTAAAGAAGGATATTTAAATAATAAAAAAAGTACCATTGAGGGATTAGTACAAAAATGTGTCCAAGTTCATGGAAAACACGTTGAGCATTTGTTAAAATAATTTTTCTGAAAATGAAAAGTAAGTGAGATATTTAAGGTGCTCACGTTAGGTGAGGACACCTTATAAATATTTTAGCTCGGACATTCGAAGTTCTCAGTACCATCGTATGTTTCCAGCACATAGAAAACTACACGTTAGAACAATTATTGTACCTTAGAACACAACATCGCAATTATTTTTTCTTCCGTTTTATAATCGATAGAAGAACTCGCATGTTTTGAACTGACGATGAAGAATCTTAAGGAAGGTCGTACTTTTGAATCCAAACGGTTTCTTATAGTATTACTGTTTCGAGAAATTGTTATTCAACAGTTTTATTTCTTTCGAAACATAGTCCTCGAGTAGACACATAAATAATTAGCAAACATTTCATTGTGGAACTTTTGAGAAACTTCGTGAGTAATTCAGGATCAATTATATTTTCGTGACATGGCTACAATAATTATGCAAAACGCAGGGTTTGCAGTGCACTTTAAAGCACGTTATAGCTTTATGCAAAGTTACAATATTCTTATTTCTAATATATACACTGAAAGTGTTGGGATAGTTGGTCTGTATGAAGAAAATATGATTTTCGTAAAAATGATGTATTTCTAGCCATTTTTATTACTGCAAAGTAGCATAAGCGTTGTTCATCGAGCTTTAATATACTCTAAACAACATTTATTTCAAACTTTCAGCAATTTCGCAGTGTTTTGTAATATTTTGATAAAGTAAATTAATCAAAATCCGTGGAATTGAGTAACGTCCACTTAAATATAATATTAATGTGCATAAGGTCAACTCGATATGAACATTTAAATATATCATTTTAAATTATCGAGAACTCATTAACGTCAAGAAATTCATCAAACTGTCTACAGAACCTCTATATCTCGCGCTAATTCCAACCGTCTCGAGTTCGCCATCAGATTTTCATTCGTCTTCGATAATTAATTACTACCCACATGCACGACGAAGTTTAAACCTTTAAAGTTTTGATCTGTTATTCTAGGTCCATATAGTAAACTCTTTTTTCCTTACAGAAGCTATTTGTAGTATAGAATTATGGGAAACAGATTTTTTTATTGTTTTTTAATATGTTCAACCAAGCAACCCCCTTATCTCTTGCAGATCTATTCTTTTTGTTTCTATCTCTTATCTACCTATTTTGCATTTGTATGCACATATCGGTACTTTTTAGACCGTTAGGGACCTAATCTATACAATTTTTATGAAAAATCACGTTGTTCATTTGGAATTCTTAACAAACATTCAATGAGAGAATAAGTACTTTTTTCAGATTAATTTCGGCTATTCTTAAACGCGAAGTGCTGGATCTTTGAAAATCTGTATGCATGTTCTATATATCTGACAATATAATACAGTAAATCATTGATGAATGTTCGAAGGCTCCTCGGCACTAACAAGGAGAGATCTTCAAGTGTATCGTTGACTTTTTAATGAGATTCAGTACAGTGATAGAGCTTGGAATTTTGACACCAATGATATTTGTTTCAGCCGTATACAGCCATTAAGTTATGAAATATTTAATGTTCGATGCCGAGGAGCCTTCAAGCACTCATCAAAGATTTACTGTATGTGTATACACTTTTCAAAATTAAATAAACATTTTATTTTTCGTAATCTGAATTTTTTTAATATTGATCTATCTATTATTCATGATTTGCATAAATCTGTATTGTTTACAAATATGTATTATGTATTTGCACACATGTGAGAGTTTATGGCATATTTTATGGGATAATTACTTTCAGGATTTCGTTCCTTTCAAAGAATAATCAAAATCTTTAATGGTTAGTATTTTGCAGAAACCATGTTGCACCTTTCATTTTACATTTTGTATGTAAAATATTATTATATATTTATTCATGTTACATTTTATAGATGACCTATGATTTTAGTGTTTCTTTCAGCAGAAAAATGTGACCTTAAAAGAGTTAGTAGGTGGATTCTCGGATAATTGTTTTAGGAGACCGAAAATTGCAAATATATCTAACTTCCAAATTCCGTTAATCACGATACTCCTACACTTTGCAACAGTAGATTATTCGTCGTTAAAGGGTTAAATCCTGTTTAATTATCATAGACATATATAATAGACTGCGCGGTCTTATGGTAGAGATGAAGTCGGCACTAGAAAGAGAGAACAATAACTGGAGTAACTTTCCTCTGTTTCTAATGGGGCTGTTGGTGGGGGATTATCTTACGGCTGTCGTGGAGACATTACATGCATGCAGCATTTCTTCTCCTCATCGCCCTCCAGTCGCTTTCTCTCCTCCCTCTGCGATGTGTGAACAAGAGAGGAGTTACTCAAGCGCTACTTCTGTCCTCCAGTCGCGCTTCATCCCTACCATAAGACGGCGCAGTCTATTATATATGTTTATGCTGATTATGAACCTGTGTTTAGGGGGAAACGTAAGACGCAGCGCAACGAGAGAAAACGCAAACGCAGCCGCGGTCGTCCGAGGAAACGAAGGCGCCAAAGTGATTCAAGCAGAAGCGACAGTCCGATGGAACGCATGGAGACGATACAGAAGTTCAAGTACAAAGAGGAAAAGTATCGATTACCGCGACGCAAGGTGTCCGACAGCAAGATGAAAGCCTACATCGAAAACACAGGGCCGTTTTCTAACCGTAACACAGCCAAGACGAAGGTAAGAGACGAGGAGTCCTATTCAAATAACTCGGATAGCGACTATGAAGATAGAAGATCTAAAGGTAAATAGCACATGTATAATAAAATCTCTGCTGATTACATTAATTAATACTGCTAACTGATTAACACTAGAACTACCAGCATTGAATGTATGCTAAGTTAAATTGGGTAATAGATTAATACTAGTAATGTACAGATAATGCAATATAACTTACTGTTAGTATGCTATAACATGAAGTGTACAAGAAATTAGAGGTTTACATAAATTGTGAACTTACATATTTCAATTAATTTTCATATAGCCAATTTTAAAGTTTACATATTTTCGAAAATTTCTCCATGAAGAGGACAAGTAGGATAATATCCACATTTTTTTCAAAATTTGAATTAGTGTCCCGCTATTATAACACTGCATTTCTTTGTAATTGCAAATAAATGATTAAAAAATATTTTCTTTTAACTGAAAGAATTTTTATTACGTATTCTTATCTCCACTATAAGCACTGACAAAGCTCATTTTGATCGGTTTGTTAATTCAACAGTTGTTACGTATGAAGAATTTTCTATCATACCTCTCGCTCTAATAGTCTGAGCTCGCATCCGGCAAAGGAAAACGCCCTTACGTTTTCGTTATCTCTTGAGTAAGCGAGGGAGTAAAATCCGTTCCCACGGCGTGGTAACCAAAAAACTAGGAAGCGTGTCGCAACTTCAACCGTCAAAAATTTCCTTATATGGAAATTTCATAGCATCCCCACCAATTTCTAGGCCTATATAAACCCGTTCACTTTAACCCTCGGGGGATCAGATCTGTACCGTCGCCTTTAGAGTCATGTCGCGTTACGTTCTTGTAAGTTGGTCATTACGTTAGTGAAATCGGGCTAAAGTTCCCTTTCGAATCCAGTTAACCTTGTAGTAAACCGTGAACACTTTATTTGTATTCCGGCTAGAATTGTTACTTTTGGCATTATTCCGTAAAATCCACTTGCAACCCCCGCATCGCCAGGGCGTTAACACCTAGCACCTATTTATTTCGGTAATAGTTATTACTTCATTATTACTTACTACTACGCGACAACACTACACAACACATTTGTAACTGAAGACTGATTAATTATACTGTTATTTTATAAATCTGTGTAGTTCATTTTGAATCCATAACACGATCCAGAAATCTGTAGTATTATCGATATACTAGTTTTCTCTAGTTTAGAATACAAACAGGTTGACCGTTCCCACACTAATACAACTTTACCGCTCGAGTTGTATTAATTATAAATTCAAAGGTTACGATGCACTAACTAACATTTCCTATCGGCTCCCTGATTTGGCATCAGGTTCGTCCGTGCATTACATTTATCCAACAGTATTTCCAACCCAGTGGCTCTCCGATTTCACATCGGATTCGTCCACGAAACTTGGCCAATCCTGATTTCGCAACAGGTTCGTCTGTACAGATTTCCCAGACTCCTCGCAGCTCCTCAGTTACGCACTGAGTTCGTCTGCAAAATCACATCCTAGTGACTCCCCGATTTCGCATCGGGTTCGTTCACGAATTTCACCTTCCTGCGGCTCCCTGATTTCGCATCAGGTTCATCCTCGTTTTCAAACATCCTAGCGGCTCTCTGGCTTCGCGTCAGATTCGTCCGCGCACCTTACTAATAAACTGATACCATATTCCTTGGAAAACCTAAACTCGCCGGCCTCGCGTTGCTACGGCCCGGGCTCGTAACACAGTTATAATTTATCGAAAAAAGGTTGACCCTATATTTCACACTGCTGTAGAATCAACAATTAAAAGAATTTTCAAAACTTCTTCGAGATACGTTTATATATCACTAAAGACTACAACGTATCCAAGTGTCAACAAAATCTGGAATGTTACTCCAAAAAGTCCGATTTCGCGTGGAATGCCCCAATTGTAAAACAAAAAACCTGAAATCCGTCATTTACACGGGTTCGGTAGTTCTAGTGTTAATACTGCTATTATACTATTACACTAATAACCAGGGGTTGAAACGATGCCGAAAATAACCTAGATAGCACGTGACGCTTAATGACGCCTTGAAGACAGCTTAAAGGCGCCTTAAACTGAAAACAGCCGTAAAATAGACGTCTTAAAGGCGTTATGTGCTATCTGGGCACTATTTCATACTGTTATTCAGGGTATCTCGACTAAATGGGATCACCTAAATATCTGCCCTATTTACTACCGTATGAAAAAATTTCTCAGGACAGAGTTGAAATATTTTAAGGGACACATATGTAATGGTGATAAGAATTTTTTCTCAAGATGATTTCTTTACGAGATTTCAAGCTCACCGTCACTTTTCAACGGAATCCTAAACTGTTTTCGATACCCTCATAGAGCATTTAATAAAAAAAAAATTTAATGACCTTAATAACCACACGTTTCGATCATTTAATCTCAAGATATTTGCGCCTGAAGATATAAAAAATTTGCTAAAGATTCACACGTAAATATAAAAATTAACTGTGCGTAAATTGCAGGAAATTTAAGTTATTTTGAGACGCAAATATCTCAAGATTAAATGATTAAATTGTGTGATTATAGATTGTTGAATTTGTTTTTTTTAAATGCTCTACAAGAATATCGAAAAAAATATAGGATTTCATTTAAAAAAATACCGATGACCTTGATATCTCGTAAAGAAATGACCTTCAGAAAACATTCTTTCCATCGTTATATGTGCCCCTTGAAAAAGTTCAACTTTGTCCTGAGAAGTTTTTTCATACAATACGGCAGATATTTAGGTGATCCTAAACATATAATTTTTTTCTTCTAAGTCAGAGAAACATTATGAACATATCATTTACCTTCACACATTCGGGGCAGGCTGTAATCATTTGTCCGACTCCATGTGACTTGAACAAATGAATTTTTCTTTTTTTCTGTTTTGAGTGTCAATATGCCATTACAAGTAATCTAAAAGACATTTAATAACAGAAAATATTTTTGTATCCCATATTTTAATGAAAACTATGGCTCCCATCCGGCCTTGGGATTGTTGTCCAGGTAAATCTTTAAAGGTGTATATCCATTTATTGCGTAATTCTTGTATTGTATCACCGTTGCGCATCATCGTATCGTATCACCCTACGATACATTTTCATACACAACTTGCCTGTTCACATTAATACATAACGGTGATATGTATAGTGGAAACGCATCTTAAATTATTTGTAATCGTAGACGACTAGTGCCAAACTGTTCCTTTCGATGCCACTGATATAGAAAAATTAACTTGTGGCTATACAAGACGTATACCCCCCCCATCCCACCCCCTCCTCCGCAATGCCCCAAAGGCGGGCATTTGATTGAAAAGGTCTGGGCACTACATGTAGTTCCCAAACGGCCGCGAGATTCGCCCATGTTAGGAACTACAGTTCCTACCCGTACCGAATGTGTTAATTAAACGGTGTTCAAAATGGTGTCCGTCAGCTGCAATACACTCGGGTAAACAGTTAAGAAACGACTGGTTAGTTCTACTTATAACGTCGGCATTGATGGTTGAGCATGCAAAAAAATGTTCGATCAAACAGGTAACAGTAGAGTAATATAAGCTGATCACGTTTCGCGGTCCACCCTGTATATCGGTTCTGACTGAAAAAGTTATGAGAACCGAAATGATGTTGAATCTGTTATAGATATAACGGTTCACGCTCATATCGGCTTCAGTTTTTCAGAATCGACATGATATCTGTTCTATGACTGTTATTTTTCAGTTCTATATCAGTTCCAAAACGGTTTTGGAATCGATACTTACATTATATTGAACGTTAAATATATTACAGAATCATATAAGCTATAAATACATAACATACGCAATGTATAGTACATTCAACGAGTCGAGTCAGTGAAAATAGACAATAGATCCGCGTGCTAAGCACGTGATAGAGGCAGTGGTTCCAGGTATTGGCTAGCAGACACTAGTCCAGTGGTGGCGAACATTTTTATTTGCGCGTGCAAAATATTTATAAATCTTTATTGAGTTGCTAACGTGCCAGGCAATTTTTGATAAAGAAAAATTTAATGAAAAATTAATCACTGCAGAATTTTATTGAGATAATTATGAAAATTAACATAGGATCTCATTAAGATGAACTCATAAGTTGTCATAAACTTTGTCGTATAAAAATCGATATCAATGATTTATTAATGAAAATTTTGGTGTTGTACATTGGATACCAAATGCTTTATATCAAACAAATTTTACTTGTACATACAGTAACAATTCAAAAAATTCTAAACAATTTATAAGCGTATAAAATTATATCGCCGGTAAATGGCTCACGTGCCAGCAAAATTTTTGTATGTACCATCTGTGGCACACGTGTCATAGGTTCTTCATGGCTGTAGTATTCCTGTATATGTCAATTGTTCTCATCTCTATTTCACCTAAATCGTCAAATGTCCCTGTCCATATCCCACTCTTTTGTATATTAGTTTACACTCGTTAAATGTAGATTAATAATGAACTGAACAGTTTCGGTAAATATTTAGAATAGGGGAGGCAGCTCCGATGACCTCGACCTACACATATGTTCCCAGGTCAGTGATCTTCAGAAGGTTTTAGCTGTGGCCCGTTTTTCAAATAAAAATTATAAACAAAAAAATTTGTAAAATGTAGCAATTATTTTGTGTATTGCAGGGTTCTAATTAATTTGACCTTGACATATATTGTAAATCTCACCTTCCTGAGTGACCTCGAGATAATTTTAGCAGTCGCTTGTTATTTGTTAAAAACTTACTAACAGATAAATTTTGCAATATGATTAACTCCATAATTTAAATCCTACTTAAATAGTATAAACATTATATTATTAACACATGAGTTCCTCTAAGTGATTGTGTGAGCGGGGGAGGGGCTGCACCCTCACCCCGAAAAAAACCTAGCCCTAACTAACCTAAATCTCATTTTAATTTAATCAGAAATGAAGTCGGGTTAGGTTTGAGTTAGATTTTTTCCGGGGCGTGGGTGCAGAGGTAGGAGCCGAGACCCCCTCACCCCGCGCTGCCGGCCCACGCAATCACTTAAAGAAGCAGATATGCTAATAATATAGTCCTTATAGTAGGTAAAATTTAAATTATAAAGTTAAATACGCTTTTATATTGCAAAAATTATTTGTTAATAGCTTTTTAACAAATAAAAGAGTGACGGCTAAAATCTTCTCAAGGTCACTAAGGGGGTGACCTTAACAACATGTGTCAATGTCATTGGAACCTGCCGTCTCTATTTTACATATTTACTACAATTTCTTACTCTTCTAATAGAATTCGTATTTGTTAAGTAACTAAATGAATTAAATTCTTTCCAGTGAATAAAAGAGCAACGGCGCGTCAGGAATGTAAGCACAACGAGAGCGGTAAGGCGAGCAGAAGATCAGCGTCTCGAAATCGTAGCCCGCAGAGGCAACAGTCGCAACAGCTGCAACCGAAACGTTCGCGTAACGACATGAAAAGTAGTAAACCAGATTCTGACGATCGCAGAGACGACGATCGCAATGATTCGCCCGTTCAAGAGAAGGGCCATGAGCCTAACAACAGTGGTAGCGGTAGCACCTTATGACGTTCGTTGTCCCATCGGATTAGAAAGTACATAGTCATTATTTATAATACAAAGTTTTGTCTGTTTCGCGAACGGTGTATAGAATCTTGTATTATTTACATGTCTTCTGTATAAGTACCATTTTGCTTTCCTTGTCTAATTTTACAAATACATTGAGTATACGAAGAATATCTGTGTTCAGTTGTTCTTTTCATTTCCCCTGTAGTTGACCATAAAGAGTATAGTTTCTCATGTAAAAGTAAGTTTAACGTTTTGATTCAGATTTTGTTCAGGTAAGACATCTTTTTTAAGGAGATTGACTTTGAAAATTGATGATATGCATGCACTCGTACTTAGAACAAGTGAAAATGGTACATGATTAGCGAAGGCATTAATCGAATCCTATTCAATACTATGTACACATTTTTACGTGAAGTACATATGTAAATAATTTTTGCAACAGATTTTCAGTTTGCTCGATCAAATGCCGTTTCCAGAGTATTATGAAAATAATTGAGGGTTCAGCTAACAATAAGCTTAACTGAGTTCACAAATCTTTGAGGCCTCACAAGTTTGGCAAAGTACTTTGCTTGCAATGCTCTGAACTGGTCTCAAAAAACGCTATGATATGCCGAAAGAAAACTATATTATAATATTATATTTCGAAAAATTAAGTTAACCTTAAAATCTCCCCTACTACTGCACCTACAGAGAAGCTGTACATGTATACTATGCAACATACCCTTGCGAAACATAAAACTTTTATTGGAACAATTGTCTTCATATCTTCTTTATATCTAGGATATCTCGGACATACTGTGGATAGTCATGTGTAAATAGTGCGACTGGGATCGATACCACGATTATCAGATCATTGAGTAGATATCAATTACTACAATCATTCGAGGAATAAATTGCGTTATTCAGGAATATACCCAGACAGCACACGGCCTCTTAAAGACGTCCATTTTACATCTACTTTAGGTCTGAACGCCTCATGAACTCATCTGAGCGTCTTAAAGATGTCTAATACAGGATGTTAGATGATGTTAGAAGTTACGTCTAATTAAGTTTTCATTTGTAACTTATTTAGAGTCATTGCACTTGTCACGATTTGTTCTAATGAAAAATATTTTCGAAACATTAGTTTCATTTTAAAAACAAATGATAAGTTACCAAAGACTTTTATATTATACAGGGTGAGTCTCGTAACACGACGATTTCAAATAACTCGTAAATTATTTGTTGTACGAAAAAGTTATTCAAACAAATGTTACATGGTTTCCAGGGGGACATACTATGCTGTAATCTGTTTTTTTAGTTTGCTTTTTTATCAAATAAAGGGGGTTGTCTTCAGTTTTTTAACCAGAATGACTAATATTTTTTCTCGAATTCGGTTAAAGCACCAAATTCTGCTTAAAAAGGTATTATACCAAATAGGGTTTAAAATGAACGATTCGTAAAATAATTTGTAAAACAAGTTTTATTTCAAGCGGAGTACTTTTTCTAGTACTTTTGCAGTTATTGCGGCACATACGCTAATAATACGTTCTCGCATATCTTCGGCTGTCGTTCGTGGCTCGGGATAAACTTCATTTCTTATGTTTCCAAAGGAAATAATCAAGCGGCGTTAAATCTGGTGAGCAAACTGGCCAAGCAATGTTACTGCCATGTCTGATGCAATGGTTAGGAAACATCATATTTCATATTTTCCGCAATTGCCGAATACAATATGCTGGACAGCTGTCCTGTTAATACCACATTATTTTCCTCTGAATTCAAACACATCAACACCCTCAGAATGCTATACTTCAGTTTTGTTCTTCCATGCCTGGAATACGTATCAACCACCTGGTCCCCACGTTACGATAACCATAAAAGACGACTAGAGGCTGTTCAGCACAAATTTCTTAGGTTAGGTATGCTTAGGGATGGGTAATCGAGCCTCGGTGTTCGAGCTTGTTCGAACGAGCTGATACTTCGAGCTTGTTCGAGCTACTCGAAGTAAGGTGCTGTTGGCATGAGAGTAATGTTAAGCATGAACATAAGAGTTAGAGAAGGGCCAATAAATGGGAGCATGGGAGTTGTTGGGCGATTCAAATGGAATGGACTACGCAGTGAACAATTAGAAAAGGAGGAACTGCCCAACAAAATATACATTGAATTTGATGACAAATCAATAGGAAGGAGTTATAGAAATAAAAATGGTTGGGTTGCTGTACAACCTCAAAGTATATTTTCCAAGTATTATTTACCAAGTAATTAGAGGGTACGGTAATATAGAAAGAATAATGTTTCCCTTAATTTTGAACTGGGCTGTAACAGTCCATAAGCTACAGGGCACTACTGTTGAGAAAGCAGTTATATATATCTGGGCAAAAGTATGATTGCTAAAGGTCAAACCTATGTGGCTTTGAGCCACGTAAAATGGTTACAAGGTGTCGCAATATGTGATCTTGATCAAAGGAAATTATTAAACAATCCGCATGATGAAATGGCACTGCTAGAGTTGCAAAGATTAAGGACACCTTCATAAGAACTATTTAATCGTTAATTGTAATCTATTATATGTTTCATTCACTAGACCTAATTATTTTCACCTAAACCCGAGATTCTTGCCTATCATATAATCTTACTGGTCGTCATCAGACTCTTAAGATTGCGGATGTGGAAGCGGCACCATAAACCTAAACGTTTGTGTCCAAACTCGAGGTACAACAACCGTGGCAGAGACCCGTTCGTAAATTATGACGAAAGTTGAAGAACTTAAAAACTATTGAACCGATTTTTACCAAACATAGCTATCAACCTTCCCGGACATATACAATTTAAAACAAAAAAAGGCATCGAAATCGGATCATTCGTTGATGAGCTACGGAGCCACAGCAAACAGACACACACACACACGCGCGCGCGCGCTTTTTGTAAGTGGAAGCGTTACGGAGATTTGAAGGTCAATTTCGTTTTTTTAAATGGAATGCTATATGTTTTATGCCAAAATATCGAAGAGAGTTAAATTTTGAGTAAAAAAGTATTGACCTTTATTAGCCGTAAACCTAATAAGTAATGAATAATTTCACTTCCTTTCTTGAAAATCGTCTGTGCGTAATGTCAAGTTGGCGATTCAATACCAGCAAAGATTTCTGTAAAACCCCGGAGTTTACGTGACAATGTTTATCAACATGACCGATTCTTAATTATTATTTATTATTATTTGTTATTGGCAATCAATTAATTGGACCATACTTTATTAATGAACGATTAAGGGGACAAAAATATTCAAATTTTTTACATGACATACACTGGGCGCCAAAATTAAAGCATCACTAAAATTTGCCAAAAATATTGATCATTTTCAGATGCCTATATCTTCGCGAAAAATAGCTATAAAAAATATTGTGACAGAGCATTTTGTAGCCCGAAGTTTCTAGTTTTTGAATCGGGAATTCAAAAATTACTTTTATGTAGTTTGTTCCTTTTTTTTAAAGATGAAGCGCAGTAAGCGAATGTTAAAAAATGTTGGTCAAGTTTGAGAGGATGCATGGGCCAAATGAAATTTTTTCTGGTAATTCCAATGGAATACTTTTAAAAAGCAAACTGTTCTCTTTAATTTTGTTGTTTTAATTTTGTTGTACAGTTTTTATTGGCCGAGTTATTCGTCATCACATGAGAAAAGGTACTTTCCACTTTGAGCGCCTGTAACTTGCGAACGCATGATCGTATAGAAAATTCCAGAAGTGTTTTGGAAAGCTGAGAGATTTCTCTTTAAAGACCTTTAGGTGCCAATGTGTTGAAATTTTTGTTCGTCGTCTACAGTCCATTTCAAAATAACGTAAAATATTGCATAATTACCATTTTTCACAAAACACGATGCCATTTTAACAAAAATTGTGGAATCTTCCAGGTGTCTACGTTTTTTTTAAGTTAAAAGTACACGTAACCCCTGTACCAAAGGCCGCATTGATCAGATTTTTTTTACCCTGTGCCCTCGATAGTGAAACTTGCGATACAGTCTGAAAAATTGGTGAATGACTCTTTTGCGGTACGTTTCCTCTTTAAAACGATTTCGCAGCGTTTGAACTGTTGTGGTCTGTGTCTTCTTAGTTTCACTTTATTTTAGAAGAAAGTAGAGATGTCAGAAATTTAGCAAACACATTTTTATACAATCTCTTCGCAATGACAAAAAGTGAACAATGCGAAGTGACGAGAGGGTGCAGATGGTGTGCATATCCTACCCTTTCTTAGTTATTGCGATAGATACACTCTTCTTTTTTTTTACTGAACTTAATTTGTTTTTTTTTACCGAACTTCTTCCTTTCCATTGCATCTCCGCGCTGTGTAATGAGATGAGTACCTTGTCATCTGCCAGCGAGACGTTGGCTTGTAACGTTAGTACTGCGCACTGTCGGTAGGTGGCCGCGGCGCCGCGACGATTCTCACAGTTGAGACTTACGAGCCACAACTTGAAAGACGAACCGCGAGCGTGGGTGGATACTCATTAGAACTGGTCTTGCAGTAATTGCATCACGGATTTTTTTTCTTCTTTGTAGCAATTCCATTAAATCCTTCAGTTTCCTCCTCTATTTATTCCTATCGAAATTTTTTTCTTAGCAAATTTTTCACACCTTTTCTCTTTATTTAAGCACTTTATTATGCCTAGACGTCACCTCTCTGATTACGAAATTGGTCGACTGGTAACACTTTTGGAGGAAGGTCTGGCCGTATTGTGTTATTTACCGACGAAGGCACATTTATTAATAACGGGCAAATTAATTTGACAAACATGCACTACTGGGTGTCAGAAAATCCTCACTGGATGAGCGAAGTAGATCATCAACGTCAATAGGGCATTAATGTGTGGTGTGGCATATTCGGCAATTAAATAATTGGACTATATTTTATTAATGAACTATTAACGGGACAAAAATATTCGAATTTTTACGTGATATTTTACCAACTTTATTAGAAAATGTATCATTAAATATCCGCAAAGAACTCTGTTACCAACATGATGATTGCTC